ATTGTTCTCATTTTCCCAAACCATCAATCTGTATGGATAATAATTCTTTTAATTCTTTTTGTTTTTATTAGTTTCGGAACTATATTATGAATCATTATGAGTCAAAAAATGTTTAGAATCTGACCTGTTCCGGAAACTAGTGGCTCTGGTGTYAGTACTAATGACATCAATTTGACTTTACCACTAGAGCAACACAATCCAAATGCTTCATTTTTAAACTTAAATGCCTTGAAATATTGACACAAAAGTTCATTTGGTCCAATAGCAACTATGTGCTGTGAACTATAATTGATTTCCACGTTATAATTAAATGCAATTCGATAGGGATTAAACACAATATTGATTTCGAATCCGTTTAACTATAATACACCRCGTTTCGCGTTGATCCTCAGTTTCATTCAATCACTCGCTTTCTTAACTTTTTATTTCATAAGATCCTTCTTCTGATAATTATACGAACACAACAAAAAAAGAATCAACGAAATCGGTCCAGCCGTTCACGCGTGATGCGATAACCATGGTAAATACGAATTCGTTTTTATATATAGAGATAACAACAACACGACATTCTATATTGAAATTTGAATTTGTACACTGTATCATTATTACTATTATAATATCAAGAYTTATTGTGTACGTCTTTGAATCGTCCCCAGTTGTTGTGGTAGGTGGACTCGAGCGCGTGCGAAATCGTAAATATATCATATTATTCTATGCAATACAATACGCCATGTCCCGTGCGGTCTCAAACGGCACCGACATCGACAGGCTTTAAATTGATATATGTGTGTGTTACGCGACCGCGTATAATACTATTCTGTTGTTGTTGTTATTATTATTATTATTGACCCGATACGGTATACAGAGAGGAAGACTAATTAATTATGAACAGCTGCTGGATTTCCAAACAAAAAATCCTTGTTGACGAATAAAACATATTTTTTATCCGACATAATATCTTGACGTTTTGATCTTCTTATACGGGCCCGAGAAACGAAAACAAATCAAATACCATAAATCCTTTTGGTAGTTTAATATTGAATACATTTATATTAGSCGTCATAGTATCGCAAATTTTAATAACGTCATTTTGAATATACGTCATATTATATTATATTAGCTTTATCATGATAATAATCTATGTAGGTATATTAGGTGAAATAACTTGTCCTGGGTGATTCTACATCGCTTAGCCGGAACTGCTRAAGCTATGAGTATGGAATTTGGACAATAGTTTTGTTTTATGACTTGGGGACCCACTAAAAAATAATTTTTCAAAATTCTACCACTATACACGGATTAAAATGTTATATAATAAAAAGAAGAACATTTGTCCGTTTGTTTGGTTTAACCTCTGGAACTACTTAACCAATTTAAAATTTTTTATTGTATCAGAAAGTTACACTGTCCCACGAATTTATAGGATATATTTTATCTTGATAAGTDGCTCTTAATTTTTTTATTGCGAATTTGAGATTTTTTTATAGAATATTAATAATAATAAAATAATAGAATWATAATAATAATAAAAATAAATATATTTTTGTTTATTATAGGCTTGCTATTGGTTATACAATTTWGTATGGAAGAATAMAAAATTAGCAATTTGTTATAAGGTCCCAATTTTAAAAATCGCGTGACCTTTACATTTTACAAAGCTAAAACTGCGATAAAATATTATGATTGAATACACTTTTAGTCCTATATTTTAAATGACTGTGTTAAAAACCTTTTATGGAGATTAAGATATTGTAAATCCAAAGGAATTTTTTCATGAGAAGTTTTGATCATGACTAGCCGGGTATAAACGACGAATTAGACAAAACATTTTAATCATATAGAATCGGTATTTTTAACGGGCAACGAAGTGCATGGGGATCAGCTAGTTTATTATATAAATTATGTCCGTTTAGAGGCATAGAAAAGCGATGTACGACTTAACTAGAACTCACGATCACTGCAGCGGCGGGTGTGGAAATGTTTCTGAAGTTTTTTCATTTCGTGCACTAAAAAAGTTGATCGCATAAAAATTTACTCAAATGAAATTACCTAGATAATTTAAATGTTTTTATTTTTTATTTTTCGTCAAATTCTATTTWAATGAACAATGACATTGAATAAATTACCTACCGAAGTAAGTGATACCTAAAACGAGAATGGGTTCTTACGAATATCGTTTGATTAAATAAAGTTCTAATAAATAATTATAATATTATTATTCTTAAATAGACTTAATCCATTAAAAAAATATCACAGTTTTTTAGTTCATTATACAGTTAATGAAATTATAATTTTTGTTTTATCATTCGTCCTATTATCACATGGATAATGAAGATAATATAAGGTTTTTTCATCTAGCAATGATGGATAAAACTGACCAAATATAATATTTAAGGGTGAGACAATTGAGAGACGGGGATCAGCATATTACACAGTTTTGAGTAAATAGATTTTAATTTATTTAYTTTTTAGCAAATTATTTTGAATATTTTGATTTCAAAATAATTTTCCATCTATTCCTTATTCTTTTTCAAAGTATTATTTTTTCATGAGAATTATAGGTTAATTTATTGTTTAAATAAAAAATAATAGGTAACTATTGTAACCTACGAAAATCCTACACTGGTTTTGATCTTTAAACGCGCAACTATATTATAGTGTTAGTTTTTCCGTTTGGAATGAAGTAGAAAATAGTTGTTTAACGAATCTTGGCCTCTATTGTCACAAATATTTAATGCTGTTTAACGTATTTTTT